GGCGCCGGGCACTGATCTCACTAGGACCATTCCAGTCTAGCCGGGCCAAGCACATCAGGTCACTGGACTTGAGGCGTGTTTTTTTTTTTTTTTTTTTTTTTTTTTTTTTTTATAAAAAAAAAAAAAAAAAAAAAAAAAAAAAAAGATTGCAAGGTAGAAAGGTGCCGACTACCGACCCAAAAAGGCTGGCTGAGGCTTGGGAAGTGGGGTTTAAACATCTGGTAGACATGACAGGAGCAGCTCCATACTCCATCCATAGTTTAAATACATAGTACCGTAGTACGTACCGTGGTATTTCTGCAGAGTCGATCCACAATAGGAGAGGCCCTGTCTGCAGGGCTCGCTGAAGGCACAGACGCCTGAAATCGAGAGGGAGATTAAGGAGAGCGAGAGGAGCGTCTCGGTCAGGGGAAAGGGGGAGAGGAGTTTCAATTGCATGATGGTGAGAAGAGTGGATCTGATAGTCGGGTTTATTAGTCTACCGTTTACCGTTCAACTAGACTAGTTGCTGCCCGAGGATAAGGTGATATCCAGATATAGATAGATAAAAGTGGAGCGGGAGGATCAGAGTCAAGACTTTTTTTTTGGGAAAAAGGAAGTCAAAGGATCAGACATTCAGGTGTATATTTGGGTGCTCTATATACTGCTCTCATGATCTGGGTATCGGGAATAAGATCGTCAGGTGAGATTAATTAACAACACATCGATATAAGTCTAGGAATGTACGGAGTATGTTTGATTGGACCAAGATGAGCAGAATGAAGGACCGGACTGTCTGAAACTCGATTCGTTCTTCGTGGTTACATAGAATGTGTGTTGTAGTTATGAGAATGTTGCGACCTCTGTTTCTTTGGATCGTAGGCAAGGGCTACGGGGTCGAATGGTGGGATCTAGACTCGAGATGGGGCATTGAATAGAACTTTCGGAAGGACTGGAGAGATCCAAGCATTCCAGCGACGCGGAAGCATTTTCCCTTTTATGGTTCATTCGGTAGAGCTGGATTAGACTGCACGGAGGTGTGGATATCCAAAGCTTAGGTTGAGGTTATCGCAAAGTCTCTACAACGAGGAACGGGACGTCGTTCTTCACAATGTTCAGGAAGAGAAAGAAATAGTTGATCTGATCACAGACAGATTGATTGATGTAATTCCAGTAAAGAGAGTTTCCTACTACCGATTGCAAAGATTCCTCAATGTTACATTTCTTCGTCGTCGCTTAGACTGGAATGTGGTGAGACCGAGCAGGCAGTGCAATGTGTTGCAACGTGCATATACCATTCACAAGGAATGAGGCGCGTTTCACACCATCACCAGAACTGACTTCAAAGTACGCATATATTTAATGGCCCGTACCAATTGACTCTCTCCGAGGAATGCCTAGAGGGCCAGTACACTGCACAACTGACTCGCGAACCCTATTGTTAACTCGGCTTAGCACCAACGAGGAGGGATATCTCCCCAATACATTCGTCCATTGGATTAAAGATAGGCTCTAAAGTTCCTGGTCTTCGTGCTTTCTTTCCCTGTTTGTTTATTTCCTGTCAATTGATCAGGCGACTAGCAAACCGTTGTATATAGCATCTTCATCACTCAAGGTATTGATCAGTCTCAAAACCATTCAAATGAGTTAAATAGGACTACTAGGTAGAGTTAGTGAGCTGTGGCATAGAGATATTGGATTGTTGCTATGATCAATAATTGATGACTGGATGACTGACTGATTTAATGAACGTATAGTTGGATGAATGAATGAATGAATGAATGCTAGGGGTGAGTTGTGTAGAAGGGGTTTCTCTCGGCGGCTCATACCAGACAAAAGCAAGATCACAAGGCAGATTGCGCTTCGCGGAGAAGATACAAACAACATTCGGTTTACTCAAGAACCGAGTAAGAGGGAGAAATGCAGTGTTGTTTCTGTCCTATAGAGAATCTAAATGCCCAAGTAGTAATCCGGCAATTTTCATATTCACCGAATTCTGATCTTGTTTGATACCACCATCTACATCATTAAGGAGACCTAAACTGAATAGTACTAGCCCTCTGATATATATTAAATAAACACAACACAAGCCATAACAGGTGGGTTCTAACCTACGGCAAGTATGAACATTGGACAATTCGTCACCGAAGTGCCCATCCACGGGCCCCCTTGCAGGGAATTGCGCATGAAAATCATATTGGAAATCTGTACGTAGTCAAGGACATGACACTGTGTCTTTCAAGTGAACTACCAAACTCCAGGATTGAATTGAAGCGAAAAGACTGGCGAAGGATATACTCCGGAGCGGCCTGGAATAGGGCACATCCCAAAGTGGACTAGCGCGCGCACCTGACGGGATCGGCGACTCGAAGCACTGACGCTGCACCACCACCACCTGAACTCTCTCTCCGTCTCTCTCTTTAATTCAATTCAATTCCCCTACCCACCCCTCTACCCTCTCAGTAGCACCAACCTCACCACTTCCAGGGGAAAAAATCTACCGAGAGCACTCAATCCGCCAAAATGGTCGACATCGTCCCCCTATCCTCCTATCCCTCGTACATCGACCTACTCCCCTCCATCCAAACCTGCAACATCACCAACCTGCCCGAGAACTACTTCCTGAAATACTACCTCTACCATGCCCTGACCTGGCCCCAACTGAGCTTCGTCGCCGTCGTGCGTCCCAAGAACGGCTACTCGAAGCGCGCCGGCCACGGCGCCGGCGCTGCGGCGGGCACCGGAGAGGCCTATCCCAAGGTGGTGGGGTACGTGCTGGCGAAGATGGAGGAGGAACCGACGGACGGGATGCAGCATGGGCATATTACCAGTTTGAGTGTCATGAGGACACATCGGAGATTGGGTATTGCGGAGAGATTGATGAGGATGAGTCGTATGTTCTTTCTTTCCCCCCACCATCACCACCATTTGATTTTTCCTTTGTTTTACCACCCATTTTCTCTCTGCTCTCAGTGTATGTTTGGAAACGGTAGATGGATGGCTAATTCGGATCTAAACAGAACGCGCCATGGCCGAATCGCACCGCGCCCACTACGTCTCCCTGCACGTCCGTGTCTCCAACAACGCCGCCCTCCGCCTGTACCGCGATACGCTGGGATTCCAGGTCGAGAACGTCGAGAGCAAGTACTACGCCGACGGGGAGGACGCGTACGCGATGCGCATGGACCTGACGAATATGTGGATGGACTGGAAGGAGGTCGAGCGCCAGGATAAATTGCGCCATCAGAGCGACGAGAAGGATGCGGACGAGGGCGAGGCGGTCGGTGAGGTGGGCACCGAGAAGGAGAAGGAGAAGATGGTTAAGGTGAAGGTCGGTCGGGGTCTCGGCGTGGGTGATTTGGTTGAGAAGAACGAGTCGCAGGCTCAATCTTAAAAAGGAAAAAAAGAAACGAAACCTCTCTCTCGCTCTCTCTCCCGCTACACCTTCAACTATGTCTCTTTCACGAACTCATGACATGATCTATAGACGGACGGTCTGGAATGAATGGATTTTGTATAAACGTCTCTAGACAGGAAATGTGAACAGATATGAAGAAGGGAAAAGAACCAGAAGTCCAAAAGTCATAATCTCATAAACCCATTGATCGCCAGTACCTTCAATGCGATTTTAAAACCCCAATGGCACTAAGTGAGAAGAAAACAAAAAGAACTGAAAATCTTTCAACCCAGCCCAAGCAGCCCAGGCAAGATGTCGGGCAAAAATTAACCAAGCATAATACAAAAAAAAACCAAGTCGCTCTCCACGCAATCCTCACGCGCAATCAACAAAAAACACCGCTGGTGTTTGGTCATTATTATCATATCCATAAGAAAAAAAAATCTAGGAATCTATGGTCGATCGGTCCTGCCTTGTCTTGGACGTACCGCGACATCAGGTTTAGCTTGTCATGATCTAGGATTGCTCTTATCTGACGGTTTCTCGGCATCGTCCTGATTTTTGTCTGTGCTTTTCGGGTCCGATTTGCTAGCGGACAGTTCTGGTTTACCAGGATGCGTCTGGTGGTTACTGCGTCGGGACGATACCGAGCTCGGCGTGCTAATGGAGCTGATCTCGCTGACTTCCGACACGAGCGACCGGGTGGGTGACGGGCAAAATGATTGGACCGTAGAGCGACTCTCACGGTTGGTGTGGTCCAGCTCTAGGTTCTGCAGGCGCTGCTCGAGGGGCGGCTCTGACGGAGGAGCCTCGATCTGTCGATTCCGCTGTTCTTGCCGTACTCGATTGCGCTTGAGTCGTCGTTGCTCGCGGTGCTCGTCCCTGGCACGACGTAGCACGTCCCGGAACGCCTTCCGGGTTGCCTTCGTCTCCTCCTTCAGAGCGCGTTTCTCCGCCGAGCTGCGTTGGTGTTGTTGTGGTGATTCCCAACGTCCCCAGCCGCCGCGACCGTAGCCCTGCTGCGCTTGCTGCCCCCAGCCATTGCGCCAATTTCCCCGTCCGGCCTGGCGCGTCTGGCGGCGGGAGTCCTGGAGAAGGGTAAGCTGCCGGCGAAGACCGACGGCGGCTTCATAGAGATCCCGATCGTGGTGATCGTCGAGGGAAAGAAGCTGTGCCCGGACCGTCGCCAGGTCCGAAGAGCTTAGTTCCGACGTGGTCGATAGGGAATCGATCGAGGCCAATGACGAGTCCGACGAAGTTGAGCACGTCGAGGCCCGTCGAGGCCGCTGAGGAAGAGCGGGTGCGGCGACAGGCTCGGCCGGGCTGCTAACAGTGCTGTAGGGATAAGGATAGGCGTTGGGGTAGTACGCAGCCTGCGAGCGAGGATCTGTTGCCGCCCACTCACCGCCAGCGCCACGAGGCCGATGGACCATAGTGCCGTTGAACTGATTATTCGTCTTCTGGCCTGAGAAGCCTGCTTGTTCTTCGATCCAACGACCGTGAGCCATGGCCTGCTCTTCGACCTGTCTGCTATAATGCTGGGCATGGGCACTGATCTGGTCCCCGTACTGCTGGGCCTGTTCCGTGATACGTTCGCCATATTTTTGCGCCTGGGATGCCAGCGAGGAAAACCATCCGAACGGCCCGCCTTTGGAACCGGGGTCCTGCGGCATGGGGGCATAGGGTCGGGCATTATAGCCCCACTGGTATTGCTGCTGATAAGGCAACGGAGGCTGCGGCGGAGGATAAGGATAGGCGCCAGGAGGTTGAGGGGCGGGAGGATTATAGTAGGGCGGTGCACCGTAGGGGCTATACGGGGCCTGATTCATCGGCGGATTCGAATAGTTGTAGAGGGGCGTCGGAGAATAGTGCTGACCAGTCTGCAACGACACAGCCTGTTGCCGCACGGCGACTGGCGGCAAGCTAGGTCGGACGAGGCGGCTGCGACCGGCCTCGGGGGCTTGAATCATCCGGTTTTCCTGCGATGCTCTCGTGGCTGCGGGATAACACCTGGGACACAGAGGCGAGGGAGGGGCGTTTTGAGGATCAATCACATAGGCAAACACGATGCGGGTTGACCGGGGCTCGAAAAAGTATTGGTTCCATTCGGTTATAACCGCCGAGACTCGCATCCTCCGCTGTTCATCCGTCTCCTGTGGTCGATCCTTGCGATCTCGCTGGATCTCGGCCCTCACTTGGCGCGGTAGCTGACCGGATGCTGATGCCAGTCCCAGATGCGGGGGGAACAAATACCGGAGGAACATGTCCCAGTCCTGCTGGGTGAGGTCCTCCGGTCGGGCTCCCCAACAACGGGGGCGACGGGGAAAGTCCTTCGACTGACTTCGAGGGTATATCGTTACTTGGTGTTCTTGGACCGTTCTCCCATCGGCGGAGGCGGGGGGTGGCCGGTCGACGAAGTAAGCGGCGGCGGAGGTGAAATGGACGGGTAATAGCGGAGAGCGAGTTGTCAGCGCCAGTGCGGAACTAGAGTCATCACTCGATGCGGTATCTGAGAAGGGGCCGACTCCCCCGCGAAGCCGGAGGAGGACGCGATTAACCTCCGCAGAAGCAGCGGCATTGCGTTCGCTAGGACTGTTTCTGTTGTTGCTATTCAACGGGTCGACGGCGGAGTAAGGCGGCGGAGGAGCCTCCTCCTCGGGCTCCATTGCGGGAAGCCGTCGATGACGAGAAAGGCGTGGGGAATGGCAGGTGTTTCAGTGAGAGGCGATAAGAATGACGGGCGACTTTTGTCAACGGTCATCCATCGCGCATGAAATGACTGGATGGTATGCAGGCGGTTCCCCCCGGAGCAAGACGCACCAACGCAGCTGGCTGACGCGGGAGGAAGGCAGCAAGATTATGTCGAAGGTTCTCTCGGTAGTACAGCTGCTTGGTCTCCACTCTGACGTCGATCAAGAAACATGCACGAGCGACACGCACGATGGCATCGGAAATGATGATACAGGATCGTGGTGGGTGGGGGAGAGTTGGAGGGGGACGGCGAGGGGGAGGAAAAAGAGGAGAGAGAGAGACAGCGAGAGAAAGTTGGGGACGAGAGACGATGATCACGGGGCAGGCCGTCCCTGATTGGCTGCGGCCGTCGATAAGGCGCAACGCCCTTTTTCAGCCCTATTTTGGGGAGGAGGTACTGGCCGGGTACATCCTCGTCCTTAGTCTTGGCCACGCCGCGTCAGGTACTGGAGAAGTATCTATCTTCGTCGCTTTCTCTATTATTATTGCAATTATATACGCCAACTCGGCTCCCCAACTCCCTACCCCTGGTCCAAAAGGGGATCACCAACAAAAAGACAACAAAAGAAATAATTCCAAGGTAGTCCTTAATCCCAAGCGTCGCCCCAATCATCATCCACTTCCTCGTCCTTCGGTTTGGTGTCGATTTTCTTTGCAGGAGCCGGGGTAACGGTCTTCGGTTTACTGGAACTACTCCGACTGGCCGTGCGGGAAACTGACGTGTTCGATGCTGTCTTGTTTAGACCCTTTGGTAGTGGTTTCTTGGTCTTGGACTGCGCAGCGAGCCAGCCAGCAAAGTCCGGTTCTCCCCCGTCATCGTAAGGTACGGGTGCTGATTTAGGCGCCGCCGGGGTGAAGCTGGTTGACGAGGCCGTGGTCGTCGCAGGACTGAACGGATCGGTATCTTTCCATTGTCCCTGGTCATCCTCGTCGTCTTCCATCGCACCCCAAGCATCGTAGACATCATCCGGTTCGTCCTCTTGAGTGATCGCAGTCGGTTGCTCCGAGAGAGATCGATTTAATGGCTGAGGTGTGGGTCGTAAGGTCTCTTTCGCCAACGGAGATGGCTTCGTGACACGAGGGACAGACGCGGGACGAGCGGGCTCAACCTCCGCCGGTTTGGCCCCGTTCGCCGTGGGTTGAATCTCGCCGTTCGCCGTCGTGATCTTATTTGTGAAGGAAGAGATGGCCCATCCGGCCCAGGACTTGTCATTTGACGTTCCAATACGAGCGGTATCTTTGGTGGTGTCGGGACTAGACGATGACGGCGGTAACGCGGTGTCGGCCATATTGCTACCGACTTTCCGAATCCGCTGCAGGTACAGGTCGAATGTTTTATTCGCCTGATCCCGAACAAATCTGCGGGTTCATCATGTGAGAAGGTGGCGCACAGGACATAGTAGGAATGAACGCGGGAGAACCTACTTCTCTTTATCTAGAAGGGAAGGACACAGCGCAGGAAGAACCTTGCCTGCACAATCCTCGTCGGTGAAGAATTCAATCGTTGCACCCAAGGCGAGCAAGCCGGCATTTCGCGCATGGACGAAGGGATCCCGAAGAGATCTAGTAAAGGCAGCGATGAGGACCTTGCTCCTCGACTATAAGGTCCGGTTAGCATCACGTTGACGATGGGCGTAGTTCAAGGCGTTTACTTACACCTTGGCCTAGATTTTTGGCGATTTTGCCAAGACAGATTGTGGTATTCGTACGGATGCCGGGCTGTTCGTCGTTGGCAGTCCGAGCTAGGAATTTCAGCAGCTCGCCATTGATAGTCCGGTCACTGAGCTTGACAATAATGACTAATACAGCTTTGACGGTCTGCTCTCGGACCACTGGGGCAATGTCGGTGAATCCAGACGTCTAACGAGCTATTAGCAAATGGCTGACAACGACAAGTTCACCTAGAACTCACAATTTGCGGGAAGATCCTGTCGTTGACGATCTTCTGAGGGAGATTGTCAATCATCAATGGCAGGTTATCCAGGAGACACACTCGTAGTGCTCGATCGGGGTTCCCAAACAGTCGAACGATGACGGGCGTTAGCTTGGAGTTGTACTCGTCCTGAGACAGCTTCGCCCCGATCTTCAGCAGTGCACTCAAGACTTTCGGGCCGCCACCGCCGAATTCGACCGACTTTAATAGCTCTGGAAGCACTTTCATCTTGAAGAAGTCCTCCGGGAAATCATCGGAAAGATTGTCCAGTTCACTGCCACAATCAGCATTCATGTATTCGGCGAACAGGTACGATCACATACTTGATGAAATCCTCCCGTTCCGCCTCTGTCTTCAGCCCCAAGCTGTCTACATCATCGGTCAACCGAATCAACGGGGTCTGGAAGAAACCGCCAGTCTTCTTTCCTTGTTCGACAAAATGCGCCGGGCTGAGTCGTAGTTTCGGGTTGGCTGTGCACAGTCGCTTGTAACTTTGATGTATGGTCGGCGGAATGTTCGTCGTTTTACCCACTTGATCCCCTCCGGTGAAGTTGCCATTGTAGACCTCGTATATGAGAATGCCCAGTCCGTAGGCATCGATCGCCGTTAACGGGTGACGTTTGATGATATCCCACCCACCTTTGACGACCTCCGGAGGTGTATAGCGAGCGGCGTCGGGTACGAGACTTCCGTATGTCTGGATAAGAATCAGTGAAACCGCTTTTCAAAGAGTCCTCCAAGCAATCGACGCACATATATAACCGCTTCTTCGTCATTCATGGAACTCAAGACATCGAAACCGCCCAGCTTCCACTCGCCACTTTCGCTAGCATACACAGACGAGGCTCTCACGACTCCGTGGACAGACGCAGCATCCTCGTTGATAAACTTCAGGGTAGTCTATATTCGAATCCAATTCAGTAAGCCAGCAAATCCTCACGAGATCACACCAACCAGGGAATGAAATCATAAGCCTACCGCCACGGTATGTAATCCCCATTTGGAGATTTCCTCACCCAGGCTCCTGCGCTTGACGTGCCAGGACAGCGGGACGACACGTTCGGTCACGATGTAGATATTCGACTCTGTCTAGATCGTGTAAGTTATGAGTTGCTGTTCCACACCAACGTTCCCCAAATGCCGTACCTCAATAGTATCCAGAACCTTGATAACGCCCGGGTGCCGTAACGTTCGCGATTTTCGCACCGCATTCTTGGCCAGGGGCAGACGAGACTTGTTGGCGGCGATGTCAAAGGTGAATATGCTGCACGACGAACCGTCCTCCTGCACGGCGCAAAGACCAGATCATCGGATTAGCCTCGTTTCATGTGCAAGTCCCGAAATTGTAATTAAACCAGGAGGATCCGCGTACCCGTTTGGTGGCATTATGAAGGGTCCATATCGAATCGGAAATGTCGACTCTGTCACCGAGCGAATAGGGGAACGAGCTACCCTTGGCGATGGCGGACGCGACGGCGGATTTGAGGAAGTCCATGGCCGATGGGGAGAGTATATTCGGGGGCGCTGAACGGGGGCGATTGAGGGTCGAAGGGGGAAATAAGGCAGCAGCAGGAAAACGAGAGAAAGCGATAGACAAATGCGGGCCAGTGAAGACACGAAAAAAGAACCGCGAAAAACAATCCGCCCCCAGGCAGGAAAGAAAGACAGATGGATGTCTTCCCAGACTCTCGGAGTTGTCGAGTCTCTTGTCGCCGCGCTGTGGTACCCCGCCCCAAATCCGGTTTAGGGCCGCCGCCGCTCTCTGTCGGTCTCGATTTCAATTGTTGTTTTGTTTTCCTCTTCCTTCCTCTCGCACCCAGAGTTCAGCACTCGTCGGTCGTCCTCCATTCAAAATGTATGAATGAGGGAGCTCTCTTCAGCTCAAACGCGCATTAGGTGAGCTATAGCTGTCTTTGTTCCTCTCCTCGCTTCCTCCAAAACACTTCAATCTATCCGCCCCCTTCACCCTCCCCCCCAAACGCGTCTCCTATGATGTGAATCTGGTAAAAGGTCAGACCGCGCTGTCCAAACGACACGTCGCATCAAACCCCGAAGGAACTGCCTATCCAGCCCAGCCGAAACGAGGTTCACCCCCAGCCAGAGTCCGCTTGAATCCCGCCGCCATACCGTCGATCAAGGCGGATGCCTACGCTCGCGAAGTTCTTTGGTTTCTTTCCGTCATCTTTCTCCTTCCAATATATCTATGCAGGCACATGTCTTAGATAAAAGGCATGAGGGTCACTTGGCCGCGAGACTCTCGGCGCGACAGACCTTGGGAAGACATGTGTATATTAAGGGCCGTACGGTCCGCAGGCGCCACATTTTGGGGTTTCTGGTCCGCTTTGTCTCTATGAGGAATTTCAGAAACTAATGGCTGTGGCAAACATCGGTCGGGCGAGGGATGCTTTTTTGGTGGGCGCCGGATTCTACTGCGGATGGAAATGACGTGCGGAGGGGACTGGAGGCCGGAAACGAGTGCTGGGCTTCGCCTTGGTTTTGGTAGGATGGCTGTGGAATCGGCAATTCTGAACTGGATCTCGACGGCTGGCACTCTGGATGGGTGCTGTATAGTACCGCGGTTGCGACGTGCATTTTGGCTGGATGACGACTAAATATAAAACTGAAAAGACCTGAGGAGACGCTTCGATTCTGCTACCCCAAACAACCCGCGAACTTAACATTGATTTCTCCTGCTGACCACTTGTCGGAAACAGATATTTAAAAACCCTCTTAGCGCCGGGGACACTGTACATAAATGTCGCAGCATTCTCAATAGCCCATCTACACGCTCTACGATGCGAGTTCCTTAGATCATTTGACTATGTTGAATTTTGAGATAGCGCATTCCTTTGCTCCCCGTCAACTAGCAACTAATCATCTATACTAATTGCCTAACGCCCAATCCTCTCGAAGGACGCAGAAAGTCACCCGAGAAGCCTTTGGGAAGTGCCCGGCAAAAGTACCTGCAACTGTGCCATAGTCATTTATCGCCGTCAGCATCAGATCGTTCTCCACGCGAGTCAGCTACTACCTCCCTGCACCCGCTATCGTAAAACTTCTCTGCCATAGTGGACCCATCACAGGCCTAAAGAAATACACGAGAAAAGAAAAACATAAATGAAACAAAAAGTATCAAAGAATCTCCCCAAACATGATGGCATATACCATTTCACGGACGTGGACGGAGCTCTTGTGGTTTGCTGGGGGTTTCCATTCGCTGGAGATAACCCATAGACCTCTTGGAGTGGTGTATAGTATAGCAAGGTCAAGGTTAATAGAATCACCGACCAATGCGATAGTCTGTAAAAACGTCGTTAAAGCTGCACGAACGGCCAGTCCAGTGATTTGCGACAAGTTGAGAAATTGTATCCCCAGTTCCATTGTCTCAATCCGATGGGAACACTTGATAAAATGATAGGGTAACTGGGAGAATATGCAGTCTAGAACTAGTTAATCCATGTCCCAAATCTCAACCGAGATAGCATTGGGGAAAATAAAAACCACTCACCAGTGGGAGTATCAGATGCCAGATCAGCAGCAGCAGTGCAGAAGGCTCCCCACTGTACCAACCAAGCGTAGTCGCAAACCTCTAAGGCACACATACCTTCCAAAATAAGAGAAACGTGCAGAGAGAAGTGGGCGTGAGTCTGGAATTGCTGCCACCGGGGAACAGAGAATCAGAGAGCCGTTGTTTCGCAGTGCTGCTAAGAGAGAATTGATTCGCTCGCGAGGGCTATGACCCTTTCAATTTCAAGGCCGATGAACGAGAGCGTCTGGCGCACTATGGAGGCCTGGGATGTGGGATTCATTTCGCCTCATCGGCAGCCTCCGGGGCCTGTGGACCAGAGGCAACGGAGGGTGATGGCTGGGAGGCGGCCTGAGGTGGAATTTGAGGTATTTGATTATAGCCATTGCTGGGCGTGCGATGTTGATGGGGCGGGTAATGATGCGCTTGATGAGGGCTAGATTGGAAATGCGGTTGTTGCTGCTGTTGAGGATAGTTTCCCCGGACCGGCGGCACTGGCGACTATTAGCAAAAGCGAAGGGGATATGGTTTCCGTTAGATCACTGTAACATACTGTGCCCAGGCTGCTGGCCGGGATAAACCGGCTGTCCATGTTGGCCGGGGGACATAAACATGACCGGCTGTGGAGGCTGACCAGGTTGGGAATTCTGATGCATCATCATAGGGGCACCCCGACTCGGGCTCGGATAGCCACTGTGCGGCTGAGGGGGGGCATGCTGCGGATACGCATGGCTCGGGTTAGGCGAATACATTTGCATCTGCGGCGTATACGGTGCCATGCCCTGTGGAACACCCATGTAAGGCCCACTGGAAGGTTGCTGGACCATCATGGGGGCGCCACCCATTGCAGGGTTCATGAACTGAGGGGTCCCCGGGTAGTGTCTAACGGGAGCCGGCTGCGGGGGGTTTGGGTAGAATTGCGGCACCGGCTGGCCGAACGCAAGCTGGGCATGCGGCGCCATAGGAGACGGATAGCCGGGCTGAAGACGCGGGGAGGGGAAGATTTGTGAGGACGATGCAGACATCTGCATCCGGTGGGGATCATCAAAATGAGGCGGGCCAGATCCGTGGTGCTGCTGCGGATGCAGATGAGGTCCGTGGGGTGGGCCCGAGGTAGGGGGCATACCCGATGTCGCCTGGGGGAATTGGAACGGCATCTGTGGTTGCTGAGGAACCTGAGGGTTCGATGTCGAACGATTCTGCGGCGAGACAACGGGTGCCTTGAACATCTGATCATGCGTCTTGTCTTCGTTCCCTTCGGCGACGTCCCAGGTGGGGAGGGTCTTGTATGCCGGAGGAATGCCGCCATTGAAGGCGTAGTCCTTGTCCGCCTGTTCTGTGCTTTCTTTCCTCATCCGTTTAATGGGGTTGAACTGGTCGTTGAGAGACGGGCGCTCAGCGAGGGGCCGCAGCTTCTTCCCGCCAAAGAAAGCCGACGGGCTGGTAGCGCGGGATACGGAGCGACCGGGCACAAACGGTGAGGAGTTCGACGAGGCACCGGGGGTGAATGTGCTGGCGGCCGGGTTAGGCTTGAACTCCAGGGCCCGGACGTTGAATTTGGTCGAAGCGGCGGAGTTCGGGGTCTGCGCCTTGTTCGGGCTGGTGATGCCTGGTTGATCAGCGGCCGGTCCGGTTGGGGGCAAGCGGGCATCGTTGATGGGCAGAGGCGCCGGGACTGGTCCCATAGCAGCCCCCTTCCGTTGCTGAAGATTGTCGGCCAGGCGGTGGCCCAGCATCCCAGTCGCTTGACGGCCCTGTTGCTGCATGGCTTGATGTGGCAGCCGCCCACCGGGACCGGCGTGTGGACCGGCCGGGGGATACATCTGACGCCCGCGAGGGTAGGTCGGTCGTTCAGACGGCGCTGCGGGCAGCGTTCCACCGTCATGACGGGCGGTACCAGAACCACGACCAGCAGGCTTCTGCTCGATGCTGGCGGTCGTGGGAGGCGATTTGGATGCAGGCTTGTCGCCCACATGCTGCTGGGCCCGTTGGACGATCTGTTCCTGCTTATGAGGGTCCTTGGCAAGGATCGGGATCAAGTCCTTGGGGACCGGCGTACCAAGCTTGAAGTTCTGCGAGAATTTCATCAGCTCGTTCAGTTTAATGTTCCGGTCATGCGAGGCCTGGTTCCGGCGGCGTTCCTGCATCTTCATTTTCTCCGTGTTGGCGAATTGACGGAAATGATCCAGCACTTCCGTTTCCACGTTCGCAGAAGCATTCTCCGCGGCGGCACGCTTAGGGGCTGCATTGGCAGCTGGCGAGGACTTGCCAGGGATCGGTTTCTGTTCTGCGTCAGCGGCAGCACCTGTCGGGGCCACGGGCGCGGCGGGCTGCACCTGCGGTTTAACAGGTTCCTTGGGCGGCGCGGCGGCAGGGGTCCCACTGGCCGCAGATTGCGCAGCAGCTTGACGGCGAGCAGGTGGAGTATACTTGTTTGGCTGTCCCGACACCAAGGGGGGGAAGTTCTTTTCATCACGGCGGACACCGCTGTACTTGTCTTCCTCGTCACCGCCCTCGGCCGTGGCCAGCCCTCGTTCCTCCCTCATGTGAGCATTCTCCGTCTCGACACCCTCGATCTCGCGAGCGATACGAGCGGCAGCTTGCTCCTTCTGCCTATAAGTCGGGTCGGATCGATCAATCCGAGTGGTATAGATATTCTCGTCGTAGCTACTGGTGGCACCAAAGAGTCGAGCGTTGGCTTCGAATTGATCCCAGCCGGCCGACGCCGATGCGCCTTCCAGCGACAAGTCGACGTCCGTGTCTGCAGCGGGTTCCCACCGTTTCAGTGTCCGTTCACGCATCGCCAGGTTTCCGGAAATATCAGCGTCGGTTCTAAACCCACTCGAGGCACCTAAACAATACAATCAACAGGGATCTTAGAGTAGACAGAGGCCATGTGAACCAACCATTAGAGGGTTTCGCGATGACTTCGGAGGTGGAGACATTGGCAACCGCAATGTCTGCCACATCACGTATGTCAAACGACACCGTGTGATCAGGCGCCGTTCCCATATACGGGCTTGCCGTTTCACTAACGCCGTTTGCCCGCTTCTGCTCTTCTTTTTGTTGCCGCTGTACCATCTTAAGGGCAAAGGAAGAGTCGGTCGGCTCAAGAGACGAAGAGGAAAAGATTCCATTAAATTTATCTCCGTTTTTCGTGGTAATAGTCGCAGTCAAACCCTAACAACGATAAGCATTCAAACAACAAACAATGCGGACTTCTGAGCAAAGAAAGAGGAAACCAGGCTTACAATAAAGCTGGTGACCAAGAAAACGAGGCGGTCGTGTGCATGGTTGTCGGGCGTGTTCGATTCCTTGGGAGTCGGTCTGGGGGAAGGAGACTGTTTCTGAGACATATTTCCGTTCTGCTGCGTGTACGAGGATCTCTGGGTAATCGGATTTGTGCCCTGGGTCCACGCCCGCTGGGAGTTACTGCGCCTGCATGGGAAGAAGCGAGAGTTAGTTCGAGTGCATCCAAGGCCCTGGTGAGTGCTGCAGTCTAGATTGCAGGGAAATTCGATTGGTCCATGTGCAAAGATAAAGTCGGAAGCATGGAGCTCCGAGACGCACAGAGGATTGCTTGAAGGGGAAAGGGCAGGAACATTTAAAAAAAAAAAAAAAAGGCAAGAAAGATGGAAGACCACGCAAGCGAAGGAATCGCACAGCCAATTGGAAGAATCGATTGGGCCTCGCAAGCATCAAGAACAAAAAGGTAAGGGGATCCCACAGCGACGGTCTGCCGGGGAACAGGCGGTGAAAGTTGATTGAGAAGCAAGAGCAAATAAATAGAGCAGTCAAGGAATGGCAAGCGACGAATGAACAACACAAAGCAACGTACCTCTGTCCCCCATCGAGAGGACTGCCCGACTGTCGTCGACTGCCGTCCGACGCCTTGGTGCTGGCGCTGGGCCTCAGCGAGGGTCTCGCGCTTGGATTCTGGATGGATGCATTGCCGGTATTGCCAGACGCACTGTTGGCAGTTGACATGGAGTTGGCGGTAGAAGCCATCTGGCTATGGATTGTCCGACAGGACACTCACTCCGGTCGTGGAATTACACACGACGCAAAGCGATGAAGCAAGATGGAGTGGCGGAAGTTAGAGGCAGGCACGAAGCCACGGCGCACCGTCTGCGCTCTCAAAGAACGCGGTGGTCTAAGCTGGGGGGCGTAGGTGGGAGAAGGAGAAACGGGCGGGGAGGGACGAGGAAATGACGAGAGGAAGGAGGGAGGGACCGAGAAAAAAAGGAACGAGAAAAATAAACTGGAGTTCAAGGTCCAAGAAGTGTGATCCCAGAAGGGAAAGCAACAAGAAGATGGATTGGAAGATGCGAAAAGCAGCAATCACGAAACGAGAAAGCCGCAGTGGACAGGTCACGGGACCTCGAAATGGGAGGGAAGAGGGGAAGGAAGGAGGGAGAAAAGACAGGCCGAGAACGAGGATCCAGACACAGCAAGTAGTAGTTAAGAATAGAAGGGTAGTTAAACGGAATCAGATCGAACAGAAAAAAAGAAATTAAATAAAAAGAAAAAGAAATAATTTCGGCCGGGTGGATTCCAAGAGGAGGGGGGAGAGCTCCAGAAGGGAGAGGGAATAATAATGGATGATGGACGATGGTCCATGAGAAGGTATGGGGTGAGGGTGAGCCTGAGGCATTTCCATGGTTCCGTTGGGCGGTGGCCCGCTAAGAGACCCGCCGGGGAATGTCTTCTTCATCCTGTCTGTCTCTCTAGTCTCTACAGAATCAGACAGACAATGATATGATGGTCAATTCTAAGCTGACTATCCTGCAGGCCTGGTCATGATTCATACGCTTTAAACATGGAATCAATCTCATTCCCACCCTTACTCCCTACGCCACTTCCTCTCAGCTGTGTGCGTGTTCCACTCGCTACGGAGACACACCGTGTCGCCTCACTCCACCTCCGACGCAGACTTATTTGCCAATTTGGTTAGAATGTGAGCCTATGAGATTGAGGACCGAGAAGCCTTGAGCCGTGTGCATGCCTGTCATCCTCCACTGGGTTGGTCGCTATGGCTTAGCAGCAGCTAGCACCGAGGCTAGCGAGGCACAGAAGACTTTCCTCGCACGCCAATGCTGAACGCACCCTTGCTGCATGGGACTTCTGCGTATCCGGTACAGCAGGTCTCGATCTTGTTCAAACCCTAAAAAGATAAATCTATCAAATCAATTTATCAACACTCCATAGATCCACCCGATCCGATTGCTTTTGACATGTGTTCTGTACCAATACAAACCTCTTTGTCGGTAAAGCAGTCGTCAATGGGACCCGTCTAGGAATTGACAACCCGGCGGGAACCCAGATTACCTTAGTCCTCCTACCTGACCAAACCCGAGCAAGGGTCAGTCATCCCGGTGCCAGCACATCTGGCCCATGTTGAAACATCGAAACGCTTCCCATTTCCTTCGCCCCCCACTGGACGAGGTGAAGACGATCCCTAAGGAGTTTAGTACCGCCTGGTGGGTTAAACGGATCGTCATTGAATGGAGCCCGGGCATGGTGGCAGGTTCCTCCTCTGGTAAAGTCGCTCGATACTTTGGTTGTATAACGTCTGGATATCAGGACCTTGTTTCCATGGCACTCAGTATCCCGGACTTAGGCCACTATTACATCGTACAACCAGGGTTTTACATCATTCATCGGGAGGACCTAGGTCCTCAATGTTCCAACTTACCACTGCAGATACATCATTGTTGAGGCTCCTTAGACCCTCACATTGTAGTGTAGGAGCTTGTACTCCGTAGACAGGCTGAAAACTAATGCGATGGCCGGGGCCGCGCTAATAGGGTTAAATTTAGATACACAGGCCGAGCACTCAACACGAGGTTTTAGTCCACGTTGACCAATGCAGAGGGGGGGGGAAGGCATGATAGGAGAACTTCAATGTTGAACGCGGAAAACGATGACAACTGAATTGAGAAATAGAAAGAAATATCAACGTCGAAAACTGACTCGAGTGGCTGGTGGAGCCCTGCGACCCGGGGGGCGCCTTTGGCGTGAGGGTAACCACTAAGTGTAAGGAAGTTACGCGGGTACCAGTCAACCCAAGTATTATTAGGTACCTACAGCGGTTCCTCCAGAACAACTGTGAACTAAGAACTTATCGCCGGCAGCCTGAAAAGAGGCTGGGCTAAACTTCCCTCGTCGGGATCATCCTTCTTCTTCTTCTCCTTCCTCTTCTTCTCTTTCCTCCCCCTTACACTTCTTGATTCACGTTCCTCATCCGACTTCGTCCTTCCTTACTCTGACTCTCACTCCCTGCATCTCACCCCCTCTCCCGTTGTCCCGGTTATCCCGCCAGCAATCATTCATTGTCCTACCCTTTTTAAAGCGAGGGAAAAAAAACCCCCCCGTAATCCCCTTCCCACATGCAGTCCGGCTCGAGCATTTCCTCTCGCTCCCAGCGAAGTCCCTCAGCCCAACATTTTCCTTCGGGTTCCGGGAGCAGTATTGAATCCGCCATGACTTCGCAGTCTTCTGCACCGCGCAGTTCATCGAGTTCCGGAAGGTCGCAATCTAGAAGTGCCGTGGTAAGTTCACGTCTGGCGATGATCGGAGTACAAGTCACAACCCCGACCGCTTTCGGTCGCGTGCGAGCGAGCCCGCACGAAGTGTCCCATCGCGAATGTATGGTCATATTATTTTCGGCTCTAACCTCCTTTCTGTTGAATAGCCCGATAAGCAGATCTCACAAATCGAAAAGAGTGTAACGCACCTCCTGGTGGCCACAAAACAACTGTTGGAAACGTTAACGCAATGGTCCCGCACGCAAGCCTCCGAGAACGAGGTGTCTGACGTGTATGTGCGGCTGGGCTATGAATTCAACCTTGCTTGTCGCGCCTTCAATGCAATCGGGGTCGATACCTCCGACTTGGGTCCCGTTCCCGACCTCCTCCGCACCATCCTCGAAGATACCCTCAGTCAGGATGCATCCCCACAGAGTCTCGATCGTTATCTGCCACGGATTCGCGACATCATCATCAATCTCCTACATGGCCTCAAGAAGAAACAGGCTCGCCTACGCTCTCGGCAACAACGGGAAGAGTCGCGAACCCTACCGGGTCGCCAGGCGAGTGCGGGAAGCATCTCTAGTGGACAAGCGGCGATGAATCAGGCTTACGAGGAAACGGCTTCGACGGTTTCCTCGCCGAAACGCCCCGGTCGTCGATATGGAAGCAACGGCTCGATCGAAGACCCGCCGCCATCAATGGCTCGGGCTTCTCCAACCCCGTCTGGACCCGGTGGTTCCAGCTATTCCGAACGAGAAGCGTCGCGACGAGAGGCACAGACGATCTTGTCTCAATCCTCACCCTCCGAGGTCACGGCTGCCAAGGCCCCCGAATCGAATAACGCCAACGGTTTTCCCACTCCTCCACCCCCTCCGCCCCCGAAACAAGACGATGCCATCGGCGCATTGCAAAGAAGTGGCGAGTTGGAGCGCCGTGCCTCTCGAAGATTCTCCGCCTATCAGATACAGAAACACCTCGGTACTTCCTCCAACGGAGTCCCTGTGCTACCTACCCAGAATTCTCCCATCCCCAATCGAGGCCGCGACGTTCGGGAGTCCTTGAATGCGGTGCGCCTGCGGGGGTCCTATGCTCATGGCAGACAACGTTCGACCAACCGCGCCAACGATGCCGCCAGTGCCAAAAGTGCCCAGCCTGCGGCGGCCCCTAATGTTCCTAAGATCCAGGAAGAGCGCCCCTCACCTCGGGGTCCGTCTCCCGTAGAGCTGTCGGCCGTGGGGTCAGACGAGGTCAAAGCTGCGGAGGAGCGATCTCAACCTCGCATCGGCAAGGATGGACCGGGTGCTGCTCCAGTTGGGCCGCCGCCGGAGCTGCCTCGACCACCCGAGGAACCTCTGCTCGACGAGGCATTTGAGCCTGAGAAAGGCGCTGTGGATGCCGTCGCTGCTCCCACAACGCCGAAGGCCGAACATCGACAGCCTCAGACGGCCACCTCTACGCCTCCTCAGTCTTCTCAATTGGCCGCCGAGCAACCGTCTCCGGGCAAGGAACTAACACTATTCCTACAGTACAAGAGCAAAATCAAGAAGTACGTGTTGCCGGAGGGCTATACCGGCTTGACCATTGGGCGACTGCAGCTAGCTTTCATCGAGAAGTTTGCCTGGAACACGCACAACAATGGCGTCGATCTACCCGAGATCTATATTCAAGACCCAGTTTCGGGTGTTCGCCACGAGTTGGAGGATCTCAGTGACGTCAGAGACCGTTCCGTCCTCGTACTGAATGTCGACATCCTGGATGAAGTGAAGAAGCACTTTGACGACGAGTTCGGCGGCGTCCGCCGTTTGATTGAGGGTGTGAAGGGTGCTCTGGACGGACAGGAAACCATGATGCAACGCGTTTCGGACCGTCAGCTCGATGCCGCCAAGGAGATGGCCCGCCTCGCTGCAGCGCCGCCGCCGGTATCCAATGTTCCTGCGGAGGGGACCACCCGCAAGGGTCCGATCACGGGAAGTGACAGTCAGCTTGCGGAGCTTCAGAGCCTTCGACGCGATCTCGCTGTGCTGCGTCAGACGTATTCGAATTTCTCTTCGGATATCGCCACCTCCATGAGTGCCATCCGCACCAAAGCGAGCAGCATCAAAACTGTGGCGGCCGACGTCTCTGTGCCGTCATTCGAAGGCGACGCGGGTCGTGCGCGAGTCAATTCCGGGAAGAAAGAGCTTGCCGAGGAGTCGGAACGCCTTGTCGTGCGCGTTGATGACCTACAAGACTTGGTGGAGGATCTCCGGAAAGACGTGGTTACTCGCGGGGTTCGACCTCTGCCGCGCCAGCTGGAAGGGGTCAGTAAAGATATCAGTGCCGTCACCAAGGAGATCAAGAAGATGCAGGACTTCCTCAAGCGAGAGAAGCCTATCTGGACCAAGATTTGGGAGAAAGAATTGCAGATGGTGTGTGAAGAGCGTGATCAGCTCACTATGCAGGAAGATCTTGCCGCCGATCTGCAGGATGACTTGGAGAAGGCTGCCCAAACCTTTGGTCTAGTTGAACAAGCTACCAAGCAGCAGGCAATGCAGAACAATGCTCCTGAAGGTGTCACCTTACGCAGCACTTCACGAAACGTGGTGATCAACCCCGCCGTAGATCCCATGAAAGCCAAAGACGGCGTCCTAGGGGAGGTGCGAGCTTTACAACCCAATCACGAATCTCGTCTTGAAGCCATCGAGAGGGCCGAGAAAGCACGCCGGAAGGAGCTAGAGACCCGGCGGATCGGGCTCTTCCAGAAAGAGCTGGGTAAATTTGTTGAGGAGGGCAAGTTGAAGAAGAGTGGCGGCGTTGAGGAGACTGAGCGACTCCGTAAAGCCAAGGATGACCGCATCCGCAAAGAGGTCTGGGAAAGACAGCAAGCGCGCGCAGCGGAAATTGAAAAAGCGGCGGCAGCTGAGGCAGCAGCTTCGCAACCCCAGGAACAGTCTGCCACCGACGACGCTGCGGACAAAGATAGCGAGGCGAACGCTGCCGAACCAGAACCCGCGAAGTCCGAGGATGAACAACCGCCAGCAACAAATGAGGCTGCCGAGAAAGACACCGAGAAGGATGACAGTAGTGTCAAGTCTGAGACGCACGAGGCGACGGACGAGTCTAACAAACAGGATGAGTCCTCCAAGAAGGACGACGCGGGAGACCCCGAGACCAAATAGCTCGCGGGGTACGCTGAGAACTCACGTTCGAAGCTTTCCACCGGACTGTTGCTAGTGTGCTGGATCTTATGTCTCTTGGAAATCATCTTCTTCACAACCGTTCCCCGTCTGTATTCTCGTCCATTTCCATTCATTTTATTCATTTCCTGTGTGGGTCTTTACCTGTTCATGCATAGCATTGTCTAGACTAATTGTTGCCGGTCCTTTGAGCCTGTTTCCTTTCGTTGTTTCCCACCGTGTCTTTCTTTCTTCCTTGTTTTCTTTGTTCATGTTTGTTCGGTTGCTTGAATACAACCTGTGCAAGTGCTGGTTTCTTTGGTACCTGAAGATTTTGGGTTGTCCCCGGTCTACACTGGAAATGCAACCATTACCTATGCATTGCTGACGATACCCTGCCACGGTTTGTGGCCTGTTATTATGACTCTTGCGATGATACCTTGGGGAATATCGAATCCTGTTCCCTATCTATCCCATTTTGTCTTCTATACTATATTCTTTTGAGCTTCTTTTATAGCGATGGGATATCATCACGTATTAGCCTGTTTGCGATGTACAGCTACTGGTATAGAGTGTAGAGCTTATCTGAAATCCCCGCCTTGACCTCGAGCAGAAGGAAGGAGCGACTGTGAGACAGAAGGAACCATTTATCTGCACTTCCCTCGCCTTCATCCTCCTACAAACACAGACTTACCTTGACATCTTACTTAGCAAATCCCTTCATTCTTCCCACTTTACCGTTAGCCATGGCTCCACCGCTTGTTAGGCCATTGTCCGCACCCAACCCTCCAACCCCACGACTGGGGGTGTCAAACGCCTCGAATACATCGGCAGATAGCCAGGTTGGAAGCGGCGTGTCCAACGTCTGCCATTTGCATTTATACGATGCCCCTACGGCTGAATTAATGCAACGTCTATTCCCAGATAAACAGAGTTCCCCCATTGATTACCACCGAGAGCTGCGCATACGCGGCGTGATCGTACATGACGAAAACGATGAAGCCCACCCAAGTGACTGGAATACGCTTCAGAGCTATCTCAGCTCTAACGAGGGCCGAGAAGAGCTTGACTTACTCTGTGTCCGAGGGGCTCGGCGAATGCTCCACTTGATGGACGACAATGAGCTCGAAGGAGTACTGCTTTTTCTTCTTTCGAACTTTGGGGCCATGTGCGAGAAAGACGACGTTGTGAAACTGTGCCGTCGAAAGGAGTGGAAAACGATCCCCTTACCCTGGCGGGGTGCTGAGGCAGCTGAGCTTCCGACGCTGTGCCCGGATCTGACGTTTGGACACGGAGGAGGAAGCGACCTCATCCCCGCGGGCTTACATCGGGTGATCTCTCCATTTTTTACTCCCATTCCAGAGGAGCCCAGCCTGTTGCTGCCGTGCGTCACGGTTTACGTGAAGGGCGGTGACGATGAGCACATCAGGCACATGAGCCAGCACGCTGCCGCCATCATGCTACGGAACATGGTGGAACTCAGTCTAGTAATCATGCCGTCACGGCTGCTGAAAGAGATGTTGAGTTTGGAAAATCGAGTCAGCGTGCTGACAGTGAGCGTATTGAGTTCCTCGATGGTTCTAGCCTGCCACTGGTTAAAGCGAGACATCGTGCTGGGCAATGTCGAGTATCATTCACGCGACATGCAGTCTTGGAACCTCAATGATCAGGACCAGATGGCAGATAGCTTCAACTACATTTTTAGGGCCATTCGATGGGTTCTCAACAAGAACCGCTCGTGGGTGATTGGTAGATTGGATCAGCTTATATGGGATGGAGGTTTTGATTAGAGGGGCCTCGGCCACATTCTTTGATGTTGGCAGAACTGCCATTCGACTGACATTTTGTCAATTGGGTGCATTGCGCAATATCTAACATCGCTTGACTGGACTGGTTTGATTCACCACTGTTGGTTCGTATACTTTCTTCTAAGATATCACTACTAGAAGTCGAATCAATATAATCAGCGCAGGCATTCTGGTGGAAGAACCCCGATAGTATAGAGACAGAAAAGGTAAATCTGTAAGAGTAAATCGAAGAGAGAACTTTTACTATCTAAACACTTAGCCATAAACTCGCAACCACAGAAACGAGAATAGATAGTCTAGACATAAAGCACCGTCACCATCACCAAACAATTAAGGTATCTTGCCTCCCATCCATCAATAAAGTACCCCATCTCGACATCCCGAGACTACATACAAGCATGTACATAGGTAGCATATCTTTCGTACAACTCACCCCATCCCACATTCCTCTCTATATCCCCAACCAATCACCACAACCTACCAAACCCCCAACCCAACGAATCAATTATACAAGCATATCCACAATTATAAGGAGGAAGCAACAGCCGAAGAAGATATAAACCAGAAGAAAGGAAAGAGCGAGAGGGCCTTGATGGTTGAAACAGCTCAATCAAAGCGGCATGCCCCATCTCGGCGCATTAATAATAATACCCATCAGACAGCCCGCCACGATACCTGTGACCGGCAACGTGATGATCCAACCGAAGTAGATCCACGCGATCATGCGCCAGTTGATGGTGCGCCAGGTGCCGTTGCAGAGACCCACGCCGACGGTGGCGCCGGAGATGCATTGCGTGGTGGAGACAGGGAGTTCTGGATTTCCGGGGACGGGGTCAGTGTTGTGCATATGTGTATGTGTGGCTTTTCTGGGTTGGGGAGGGATAAGGATGATTAAGGGAAGGGAAGGAAAGATGATACGTACTCAGTCTCGTGGCCATGATGATCGTCACTGCCGAGCCGAGTTCCATGGAGAATCCACGCGAAGGCGAGTGCAGCGTGATGCGGTTACCCAGGTTGCGCATGATGTTGTAGCCGTAGGTCCAGAGACCGATGGAGATGGCAGCACCACCGAAGGCACTATTTTATGATATTATTAGACAAATTGTGAAGTAAGGGATGGGAGAAGATGTTGCTTACAGGATCCAGTAGGGGACGGGACTCTTAGATTTGAGTTCGTTGGTAGACCAGATGAAATAGATGGTAGCGTAGGGGCCAACGGCACTGCGTTCATCGGTTAGTAGGTGGAAGAAGTCATATAGAGGGATCAGGATGGGGGAGCTTACTTGGAGACGTCGTTGGCACCGTGGGTGAACGACGCGGTAGCGGCAGTCATGATCTGCAGGAACGAGTACATGTACTCGGCCCGGTTATCGTAGTGTTTGGCGTGGGCGTGCGTCATTTCGATATCTCCGGTCAAGATGTTACGTTTCTTCTGCAAACTAATGACATCCTTCTCGACACCGCGGAAGAAGAAGCGACGGAACTGCCAGAAGAGCATGACAGGGTGGAAGGTGCCCTTGCCCTCGGGACGGGGGCCGATGAAGCTGAAGGGCGCGGGCTCGTTGGTCGAAGGGGGCGCACTGCTGGACGGCTCAGATTTTTCGGCGGCCGTGGATGTGGTATGGCTTTCCTTGTGGATCTCGGTGCCATTCTCGGTGGTTTGCTCAGTGCTGCTTTGTTCAGCGGCATGTTCAGGGTCTGTCGGGGTGTTCCGCTCCGCCTGCAGCTCCTCCATGGTCTTGTGGCCGCGGTAGTAGTCTTGCACAATGGCATAGCCTTCAGGGGCAGGGGGCACCTCGCCGCGACGCAGCACCAAAGGACCCGTGAAGACGTGGTACCATCGCAACTGCCAGTCACCCTTGATGATGCGGCGATGGAGCCAGGGAAGGAAGAAGATGGCGACAATGAGCGCTACGGCACCCCCGACACCAAAAATGACTCCAATGACCTCGGCATTGGTGAGATCGATTCTACTTGAGCCACCCTTCCACACGATCAACACTAGTTTGAACTGTGATCAGTCTATTAAATCGCCAATGAAGGAAACAGTAAGCGTAGGCAGACTCACTAGTCAGAAGAGCGGAGGTAATGCCAAAGTATACGGGAATGGAGAAGAAAGCTCTGACAACGGCGTTCTCATGCAACATGACCCCGTACTTGGTGAACAGGAAGATGATGGCACCGAAGCAACCCGAAAGGACGGGGGCAATGATCCAGGCCAGAAAGACCTGGACCACACCGGAGTTGACGTCTCCTCCCCACCACTGTATACCGTCGGCACCCACCGCCGCGATACCCATACCGAGCACGCCGCCCAGAATAGAGTGCGTTGTAGAAACCGGCATACCGAATTTGGTGGCAACGGTAAGGTAGATAGAAGAGGCGCACACAGCGCACACCATGCCCAGCATGAGCATGGTGGGTTCACCTTCGAACAGGTCCACGTCAACGATCTTGGTTCGAATGGTATCTGCGACACGGGCTCCGACACCGATACTAGATGGGTAAGATTTGCGATTAGCTGGGTTGTCGAGATTTGCACTACAACATAATCGTACCTTCCACTAAATTCCATAACCGAACCAATGACCATAGCTTGCCAGTACGTCAGGGACCGCGAGGAAACGGAGGTAGCAAAAGAGTTGGCGACATCGTTGGCACCGATGTTCCACGCATCGAGGAAGGCAAAGATGGTGCCGAGGGCGAACAGGTAGTCAAACTGGTGCAGGGCCATGTTGACCGTGGAAGAAAATAGACAGTTCAGGGAAGCAATCTCTCAAACGAACGGAGAGAGCGATGGGGGTGTTTGTCAGATGTTTATATACGGCAGAACATAGTGACAAGGACAGGCATGGGAGGGCCAAACTACGCGAGGGCGAGTCAGTCGACTCAGGCAAACAGTACGGTGACATGGGCAGACATCGCGTAGACAGGGATAGTATGAGACAGTAACAGATTGGTTAGTACAGGGGCGCAACTCCGTATAGGCCAAGAAAAACCAATATAAGAACAATATTCTCGGCGGCCTTGGCGCCCGGGATGCCAATGCCAAGTCTTCCGCTCCCTGACCAGACGATGACGGCCAATCACTGGCGACAGATGAGGAACGTGGGCCGCAGTCAAGCTTACGGGGGTTCGTTTGGCGACGCCAAGGCATCCCTTGGCATCAGCGGTATGTCCTGATTCCGCTAGTGCTCGGGAGACGTTGGACCAGTCTGCGCCGTGCTCGACGGCATGTGCTGCATCGGAGGAGGCGACGATACGAGGGTGGAAAGCAACAGGGAAATTCCCCGACGCAGCGCTGGCATTTCCGATGCACCATGTGGTCGTTTGATCGCGCTATCGCTCGGTCTGGGCCTGTTGTATGCCTCTTTGCAGTCGCTGGATGTAATCCACCGCAGCCTCGAGCAGTTCGACCTGAGCAAGTTGAAAATGCAACATTTAGCTGATTGGGCCACAGAAAGACTTGGGGGGCCATGAGGGTGGGAAGTAAGAGATGGGGTTTTCGATGTGCCAATGCCACACCGCACGCGCTGACCTTGGTCGCCCCTTTCCCTGCGTGGTCGACGCCACCGTCCCGTAGCACCTGGGCCATTTGCTCAAATGCCCCTTTCAGACGGTCTCGCTGGTTCTTTTGAGACTGGGCATGTTTCTTGCGTCGGAAATCCCCGGATCCCGAGGTTCCATCAGGAAACGTGATTAGAAGTCGGCCTATGAAACGTCAGTTGGAGGTTCGAGGCAGACCTATGGTCGGAAGGTAAATGAAGTGATAAACGAAGTGGACTGACCTTCCTTGGGGCGGAGCTGAACATATCTTTTGCCGTTGGGAGGGGAAGATGAAGAGGGTACCATGGCTGTGGTTTGCTCTTTTGCTCTTTTGCTCTTTTGCTCTTTTCTTCTCTTTTGGTGAAACTAGAGTCTGGAGGACTGGGCGGGTAAGGACCATATATGTTTCTCCCGCATCGTCGCAGTAGTCATCCACACCGACTATCTGTGTGGCTTGTCTCGCATTTAAACATAGCCTGTCAGTTACTCCTCATCCCGGAGAAACGGTTATTTCGATATTAAAGTCCGTGCTGTTCCTCTCCATCGACGTGCATCTCTAGGCTATTGCGAGATCCTTCTCGCAGAGAGTATGACCCCATTTGGTAACTCGTGGGTTTGCATTCCGACATCCATCAGCTGGCGCGAAATTGAGTCGGTTTACTGGCCACTGTTATACAGCCATACCATATTTGGGCCCATGTTGTTTGGTGGGGTTGTCTCCAATCTGCGAGTTGCATGCCACCTAGGATGCAACCCTGTAAAACAAGCCATCCTAATTCAATGGGCACGAGATGTCGAATCCGGGATTCCATTTTCCACGGAACCGAATGACCTTGGAAGGTCTTTAATGGTGATGGTACACACAGGTCTGCCATCAAGCCATGTCCCTTCGTGTTGACTACCAGCGGGTGGTGTTTGCATCCTCGCTCGCTCTGGCTAGAACAGACCGGGTCTGTGTCGAGTTGGCAGAGAAATTAGTAGACTTGCTGGGGTATATCACACTAGTATGTTCCGTTTGCTGTAACCCACACCTCACGATGGCAGGAGTGCAGGACATGATGGGCTAGTACGGAGTACATAACTTCCCCACAGAGCCGTTGCAGATCATGGTGCTGGAAGGGGCCAGTCTATGGAACCGTTTGATGGTTTCGACGAGATCACGAATGACCAGTGCCTAAGTAGCCGGATTGTATTGGCTAGAGAGAGCAAGACTTGACTTGATTGGTGCTAGAGATTAAGATTAAGATGTCCAACGATCATTAAGGACAGTGGAGAGCCACGTGACATGGAGATCCTGTGGAAGCGATGGATGTTGAATGTTGTGTATTGGGTGGCCGGTGTGGCCACTTATCTAAGATATCTAGCTTACTAAATGATGACTAAGCGAGGTCGAACCCCAGGGCAGGCGGAAGGGTACGTCCCTGTGTTCCAACACATCCCACAGGATACGCGCTAGTCTCAAATAGTCCAGTACCGATTAGTCTCATTCCGGTCTAGTCTTTGATGCCTGGTTGAATGCCTGGCAATCATTAAACTGCCATCTTATGATAAACATAACATCGAATCATCAAAAGGGATGGGCATTCTTGTATCCTTCAACTACCTAAGTTGCAAAGCCAACATACGCAACTCACGTTCAACCCTCGTCTTTCGCCTACTTGCGAATTTCACATAGCCCTTATGTCTAATGAGATTGAAATGAAACCATCTGAGGTTGAATTCCTCGAAAAGCTGAAGGAGAGTAAGTACTCGTTGGTTTTCAAAGTCCGTTTCCGGGAAAGGATATGTGTCATGAAAGTATTAAGTGTAGGGATTCTCATCCACTTACCGGCTTCTTGCTTACAATTGAAGTATCATGATAGGGGGCCGTCTGAGTTCGATCCCCCTGACCGCGAAGTCAATCTCTTTGTTTCCGAGTCTACCGCATACCATCGAATGAAATTGAAGGGCTTGTGCAAAAGGGGCGTTATCCCAAACTTTTACGGGACAATTAGAAATATTCAACCGACTGTTTGGCCAAATCTTGACATGTTCCTTGAAGACAGACTGTCACCCAATGCCATCCTTATCGAGTATATTCCAAACCTGCAGCCAATGGGCCTATGCAACTTTTCAAAAAAGCGCCTGGTTAAACTCCGCGTGATTCTTGGCGATATCCATAGGGCAAAAGCTCTCTATGGTGATCCGAAGCCGCGTAATATAATGGTATCATTAGCGGAGTACGAGAGGGTACTCTGGATAGACTTTGATTCCGCCCAAACATTTTCAGAGGGTGATCTTTCACCAAAATAAGAGAAATGGATCGAAGAAGAGGTTGAGATGATAGGTTATTTTGTTGATGCGTTAGTAAGTTCTAGTGTTCTAGCTAGCCACAGCTTTTGCTGACTGCCAAATAGGCTCAAGATTTCAAGGAAGGCAGGTTGAATCGCAAGATTTCGTACTATTACGACTAGTATAAGTAGGCAAATAAGCCTGGCTGTATTATAGTACTTTCTACACCATGTAAGAACTTTTATCGGCGACATTGGTCTAAGTCTAAAAGAGGTGCTAAACCGGGTGTAGAGGATTATCGTATCATGCAACTAACACAAGAGGTGATATTCATAGCACGCTAAGTGCAAATATGCTCCTGTAACCCGTGGAGCTAGAAGTTATGTGAGTATATACTCTGGAAGCAGACATATATATACTGAAAACAAAGTCAGTGTATTAGATGATATTAACTATACAGAATCCTGAGTCCCGGGGAAACTCAAATATTGTTTTCCTGCGATCTTTGTACCGAAGACTGTTTAGTTTCAGGAGAAAGAACTGCTCCTTGCGTAGATGTTAGTTGTCAAAAACAAGGCCTTGTCAATTATGTATCTTCATGCAAGGGGTGGGGATAAGTAGCGCAGGAATGGCCATACAACTACCTCATACAGATATGATATCATATCTGAGTTTCAATTTCCATACCTTTGAGTGTGACTTGTAGATCGGGGTATTCCAGACAGGGGTAAATGGATTTTTAACACGTTGCACCAACCTGCCCCTTATATACTTCTGTAAGAGAGAAATGCCCAGGAGTAAAGAGAGCAGTAGGAAAACAAAATCTCGCTTGTCTTTCTCCGTGCAATGGCAAAAGCTGCGGATCACGATCTGGAGCACGTTCTGTCTGAGCATGGGCTGACCTTGACGGAGGACGGTCGCCATGTGCGCTGGGCAAAGACAAATAAAGACCATCCAAGGAATTGGCATCCGCTTCGAAAAGCCTATGACTTTAGTATGGTTTTTGTGTTGGAAGTTTTTACGTAGGTGGTTTTTCTATCTTATTGGGCAAAGGGAGGGAGAAGGAGAGGGAGAGGGAGAGAGAATAGTTAGTCAGATGAGCTTACATTATCTTTCGATAGAACTGCAACCAGTACAGCTGGAGTAAGTGTTCTTTCTTCCTTTTGTCAGGTGTTCAGTCCGAAAGATCTAATTTGGGTATCTAGGCAACAGCTGCAAATCATGCTCGCGATCAATTCCATATCGACGTGACTCCTTCTATTCTTTACTTTGTCACAATGTGAGTACCAGACCAATTCATTGGAACTGGAGATCGACATTGAACCTGCCCACTTTAGGTACCTACTCGGTCAAGCGATGGGATGCGTCGTGTTCCCACCCTGCTCGGAATCCTTTGGTCGCAAGTACATGTACGTCTGGAGCACTGTCTTCTACTGCATCTTTTGCGTCATCATTGCTGTGGTGCCTTCGCCTGCCGCCGTTGCTGTTGGACGATTTATCTCGGGCTCTCTGTCGGCCGTGCCAAGTGTTGTCGTCAATGGAACCATAGAGGATATGTTTAATGCAGACACTCGCATCTGGATTGTTTTTATGAACGCCATTTCTACGAACATAGGGCTGGCGGGTGGTCCGATCATGAGTGGTTACATTACCACGACCTTGGGGTGGTTCGATTTCCGTCTCATCGTATGTATATGCAGAAAGGATTAGCTAACTGAGTGTGACAGGCAGTGGGTGTTTTATATCGCAGCTATTGTGACCGGAATTCTCGCCGTCCTGATGTTCACCATTAAAGAGTCGCGACCGACATTGCTGCTAGCCCGCAAGGTACAGAAACTGCGCGATCAAACAGGAAACCAATCCCTAGAAGCATTTAACCCCGACCACGTATCTGACATGATGACTTTTGTGCGCCTCTCGCTGTTTCGACCCCTGCAGCTCTTCTTCACCGAGCCCATCGTCTTTACGGTGGCGTTGATGAACGGCACCTGCATGGCTCTGATTTACCTCTTCACGGAGGCCCTTCCAATTATATACCCTCTATTCGGGTTCACGGAAGCACAAGCCAACCTACCCTTCGTGGCTTTTAGTCTAGGTATATTTCTCAACATTCCCGCACGGTTCCTCGACCGACGACTCCGTGCCAAACTACGGAAACAGGGCCACGTTGCCGGACCGGAGAGTAAGCTGATCGGACTTCTTCTCGGAGCCCCCGTTCTCGCCGGCGCACTGTGGCTCTTTGCATGGACGATCCCACCCATGGTTCCAGACGTACACTGGATTGTGTCGGTGTTGGCGTTATTCTTCATCGGGTTCGCACTTAACGAGTTCGCTACAGTCTACGCGGGCTATATCGCGGACAGTTATTTGAGTTATGCCGGTAGTGCACAGGCAGCGTTGAGTATGCTCCGATCGCTGATGGGGGCTTTGTTTCCCCTGTTCACGCCCAAGATGTTCAATTCGCTGGGGAACAATGTCGCAGTGTCGGTGTTGGCGGCCGTCGCGACGGTTTTCTGTGCGGCACCAGTGTTGTTTAGTCGATACGGTGTTTCGTTGCGGAAGAGAAGTCGGTTTGCGGGTTATAGTCTGCAGGTGTATGAGACAAGCACAGTGGAAGATGACGGCCGTTAATCGTGTCTGGTATATTTCCGGAAATATACTTCTACAAAGTCTATTTAAAGTTCGCAGTGACATAACTAACAGGTTTTGATCCATGAGTAATCACCTCTACAAGTTCGTATATCAGCTGTTATCCACGGTTTGATGGTGCTTCGTCCCTGATTTTAGCTTCGTAATGCCGAGGCTTCCGCCCTGTCACTTACAAACAGGGCCCTGGAGGTATAGGCGATATAAATAGGCAGGCCCAAGTACCAAGCCAGACATGAACAAGGAAATAGCTAACGACCATGACAGCTACTACGGAGCCGCAGCCACTGTCCTCCCTCGAGGCCTATAATATTACGGCTCTGGATTGTGTCAATTTACCTATCCACGTTCCTGTTGCCTTCGTCTTCACCCCTGTCGGTATCCCAGCAGCAGTTGAGGCACTCGAACGCGGCATCTCCCGTCTAGTCGCACAACTCCCGTTCCTAGCTGGTAATGTTATCCTCAATCCGGGAAACGGGGGTGTCGTGAGGCCGCCTAGCGACAAATATCTAGAAGGAAGTCCTATTGTCTGCACACAGGTTCATCCGAAGAGCATTTCCGTTCTCCACGAGCCTAATTTTGGTTTCAATGACGGCATCTCCTGCGACTATTTCCTCCCAGTCCCGATATCGCTGCAGACCCAGGATAGAAGCCCTGTTATTCGATTCCGCATCAATGTTATGACTGACGGGCTGATCCTCTGTGTCTCGTTCCATCATGCCGCCATGGACGGGTTAGGGGTGATGAACGTGATACGGATGGTAGGATTGTGCTGCGCGAGTCACAACATGCCCCGTCTACCCGTTTCCTGTCTCACCGAGGCCACTGTCCGAAGCCGGGTGTTGAATATCACCACCAGTGGATCTTTCATGAGCATGGAAGGCTACGGTCCGCATCACTGGTCGCACTTGCGTCTCACCAGCTGCGAGCTTCGGTTTCCGGCCAAAAGGGTCCATCAGCTAGGAAAACTATGCAATGATATCCTCAATAAGTTAGTACTGGAGAAGCAAGCGAGTAATAAGGATGCGCGAAAGATGAATGAGCTCTCAACTAGCGACGTGTTCTCCGCGCTGCTGTGGCTTTGTGGGACACGCGCTCGGTCCGGAGTCCGCTCGCAATCAACATCATCGGGTGCCTCTGCCGCAGATACCACTCGTCTCTCGTTGGCAGTCAACATCCGTGGAATCATCAAACCACCCATCCCATTAAGCTATCTCGGAAACGCAATGGTCGTGGCATCCGACACTCACGCGCGACAGGAGATGAAAGCCCCCAGGACCACCACCGCCACCGCCATTGACCATGATGAGCTGCGATTACTCACTGATCTCGCATCCAAGATCCGACACATCATCCAGGGCGTTGACCACGAGTACGTCTGCCAAGTGATGAAGCACATCAAACAGAGCCAGGACCGCCAAGACGCATCGTTCTACTTCCCGGAGACGTTCGTGACGAATATGCGACTACTGAATCTGCATCGGTGGGAGTTTGGCCCGGAGCTGGGTAAGGTAGTGAACTTTGATCATCTCGACACGAGGATCAATGGGCTTTGTTCGATACTGCCGCGATGTCAAGGGAAATTTGAAGATCCACCGTGGAAGGTTCGGGTGGTCTTGGAACCGGAGGCGATGCAGCGGCTGCGAGAGGATGGGTTAATTCGATGGGCGGCGAAGGAAGGTATGCCCGGTAAACTGTAGAGAATAGACCGTTCGACTCTTCCCTAATTTGAGCTGATAGGGTGGTCTAGATCTTAAAAACTGGGTCGGTTGATAGTGAATAATGCGATTAGAATACGAGTAAATAATGAGCAGAACTATACAAGCCTCCCCCCGACGGACTTAGGGCTGGCCGTGGTGTCACATGACTCACATGACTTCCACCCACGTGATCCTATCGGCCCCACATGGAAAACCCGCCAATTTTGGGCGAAAAAAGAAGAAATCGCGGGCTCTCATCGATCAAAGTCAAAAGTCTTTCCCCCGTCAAACTCTCCAAACAAATCCAAAATGCCTGCTCCCACGGCGCTGCGGCGCACTGAAGACGAACCCGTCATTGACTTCAACACCGGCATCCCCCAGTCCGCCCCTGGTGAGTCTCCGAACGTTTTCTATCTGTCATTCTTTCTGGAAAAAAGAATCTCCCCCGCTAATCGATAAACCCAACCCAAATTAGCCGGCAACAACGACGACGATGAAGTCCTCGTCGACATGGACTCCGCTCCTCCTACCACCCTCCACCTCACCGCGGACTCGAACCCGCAGAACCTCGTGCACATCCAGACCCGCAAGGTGCCCATCCCGCCACACCGATTCACGCCCATCAAGGCGGAGTGGCCGAAGATCTACCCGCCGCTCTGCGACCACCTGAAGCTGCAGGTGCGGATGAACATCAAGAACAAGTCGGTGGAGATGCGCAGCTCGAAGTACACGACAGACTCGGGGGCGCTGCAGAAGGGCGAGGATTTCGTGCGGGCACTGGCATACGGCTTCGACGTGGAGGACGCCATCGCGCTGCTGCGACTAGACGACCTCTTTATCGAGACGTTCGAGATCAAGGACGTCAAGATGACTCTGCAAGGAGACCATCTGGCGCGTGCGATCGGTCGTATTGCCGGCAAGGACGGAAAGATGCGGTACTCGATTGAGAATGCGTCGCGGACGCGTATCGTCCTGGCCGGTCAGAAGGTGCACATTCTGGGCGGGTTCCAGAATATTCGCATGGCCCGGGAAGCCGTCGTCAGCTTGGTGCTGGGTTCGCCACCAGGAAAGGTCTATGGCAACCTGCGGACGATTGCGTCCCGCCGGAAGATGATGATGTGAACGATGAGCTGATTGATCTTTATGTCGATCTGGAGGAGAGCGATTTTGTGGGGGGGTTAATGATTTTCCTTGGGTATTCTCTTTTATTTATCCGCTTCTAACGAACGCTTCGGTCATGGGATTTGAATGTTTTTCAACCAAAAATCATCAGTGCTTGTTGATAGAATATCTTAAGTGGCGCATACACGGTCTGATCTGAATTTACTACTTTTCAAACATTTTTATCTTTATCATTTATGAGGTTGGACAGAGTGAACAGGAGTATACAAGAACAAGAACGGTCAGAACGAAAGAATACTTGCTAAGGGCAATGGGGATCTAGGGACGAACTCTACACCAGGATTTATCTAATGGGAATTGTAGATGTGGAAAATGTGTTATGAATATTCGATGCTGAACGAGGTACTAGAAAACATGCTGCCTGAGGAACGAATCAAATGGAGTACGTCTTCTCGACGCTCTCCTTCTTCCGCTCCAAGAATCCCTTAAAACTCCCCAGCGGAATTCCCCACGCCTTCAACTCCTCCATATTCACAAATTTATGCATGTCGCGCATCGCCAACTGCCCCCCAATCATCGGATTCACGGCCAACTGCGCATCCACCTCTTCCTGCCTCAGAAACTCCGCCTTAAACTGCCGACCCGTCGCTTGGGCCAGCTCCTTCAAGATATCCTCCACAGACAACAATTCAGACGCCAGATCGATTTCTTTCGCATGGAACCGCTGCGAATTCGAGAGGGCCTCGGCAGCAAACCGCCCGATGTCGTTGGGGTCCACGTTCGGCACAAGATTCTCCTTCGTCAGGGCCGTGGTCCAGACGCCCGTCTCGACCAACCCGGGATACAAGAATTTCACCAGGGGCAGGAGGAAGTTCGACATGAAGTTGGCCGGGCGCAGAATGGTCCAAGAAGTGAACCCCGCGGCGCGGACTTCGTTCTCAATAGCTTGTTTGCTCAGGATCACCTTGCCTACAAAGCCGTTGGCATCCCAGTACGTGAGACGTTCGGGCTCGTTGGCGGCGAATCCGCTGGAGTAAACGATTTGATCCACGCCGGATGCTTTGGCGATGGAGAGAATCCGGCGGGCTTGTTCGAGTTCGAGTTTTTCGTTCGAGAAGTCGGGCGAGAGGTTAAGGAAAAGACCTGTGCAGCCTTCCAGGCCTCTCCGGAGGGATTCTTCGTCGTCGTAATTTCCCTGGGTGACGGTGACTCCGACTTCTTGGAGTTTTTGGCCACCATGAGAGTTGGGATCGCGGACGATAGCATGCACCGAGACGCCCTTTTGGAGAAGGTGGTAGATGACGGCGCCGCCTTGGGTGCCGGTCGCTCCGCAGACGAAGATTTTGGTAGTCATTTTTTTTTTTTTTTTTTTTTCAAGGTATGAGGAATGGATGGATATATGAGTGGAGGGTTGAATTTGTGGAATAGATGATTGATTGAGGTGGAAAAGATGGATTGGAAATGGTGGTTTGGGGGAGTGGAAGAAGGTGTTCCTCTGTACCTTTATATACTCCCCCGGACCTCCAGGCTCAGACCCTCGCTGATCTACATTTTGCATTCCACGATATGCACCCGGACAGCTGATGGAGTCGATATTGCGGCAATCGCGCGGAACTCTCCACTTTACAAGTATGAAGATACGATGCTGATTGGCATGAGACGTGCAGCCTGATCGATTAGCGTGCGGAACTCCGCCCTTCCAGACTCCACCGGCGGCGCTCCCTTGTTTTCCTGTCCACGTCCAACTGCGCTTTCCCACCCCTTCCTGTCTGGAAGAACGGAGTAGAGGATCCAAGTGCCACGGGTTATTGAGCTGCTTGTCGAAATGCCGTCTTCCAATTCGTCCAAAGAGCGATCCAATCCCCCACCGCGGCGGAAGTCCTGTGAAGCGTGCAAAATCGCCAAGCGACGCTGCGATCTCGCCTTTCCGGCCTGTTTTCGATGTGCGCGAAGGAATTTGACTTGCGTCTATCCCGGCAAGCAACCGGCAGTATTCCAGGACCCGGCGCTTGATGTACTCTCGATGATCGACCAGTCCCAGGATCTGCCGCCCTTTCCTTCCGTGGTATCTCACTGTCCCCCGGAATTCAACCTCTCAGCCTTGTCGGATCTAGAACCTCCGGGATTTGCTATGCTGAATCAGGAGAGGGATCATTCTTTGACTGCTTCGCCAGATCTCTTTCATAATTATCACCAGTCTATTGTGCAGGCACCTAGGACCGAAACGGTGATACTGCGAACGAGGTCATCGACCCCGATATCAAGTGTCATAGCTCAACGACTGCAATTTTCCATCGATATGCTCAAGAATGCCCCTCGTATGATGGTGCTGGAGAACCAGACCCCGTGGTGCCACTCTCAGCTCTATAAAGATGGAATGCCTCGGGTTATGCAGGGTAAGTAAATCCGAAACAAGCTAGAACAATGCGAAGCGAATCTAAATCGGTGGGTGTCCAGATGCCTTCTCTTGTTGTGCTATGTACATGGCAAGGAACGATGTAAATGTACCAGTCATATTGGCTTCTTTCAAGACACGCATCCAGGATCTTCTCTCTTCCAGTCCGCCCATAACCCCTCTGGAGGCTTTGGCCCACACCCAGGCCTTGCTTCTCTACCAAATAATGCGCCTTTTCGATGGGGACATCCAGGCCCGCGCTTCTGCAGAACCCCTCATCTCGACGTTAGAATCATCAGCCCTCTCGCTCCTCCAGTACATCCACTTCCCGGATCCCCTGGAGCCGGAGACCACCTTTCCTGGCTCCATCGAGCCAGTCATGGAGTTCTGGACCTCATGGGTCTTCCAGGAGTCCGCACGGCGCACGGTCCTAGTCACCTTCTACTTCACCCAAATCCACCGGCTTCTTCACGACGACCCGAATATGCAGTGTGATGGCCGACTAGGACTCGTTCATTCCTGGTACTTCTCGGCAGAGCTGTGGCATGCCCAGAGCGCATTCGACTTTGCGGTGGCCTGGACTGAAAAGGAGCATTTTATTGTCTACGATGCCAATTTCTCGGACGTATTACAACGGGCGCGACCGACGGATGTGGACCTGTTCGGGCGAATGCTGTTGAGTGCAGTCTTGGGCATCGACGAGATTCGCGCGTGGTTTTACTCAAGGGGTGCGATTCTTTAGATATTTGGGAGTGGGATGATGTCCGAGCGGCATAAGCCTTTATGGAAGAAGTGTTCAGACGATTATCTCCATCGGAGCAGTTGACCGCATTTCCGAGGTGCAGATTCCATCGACTCCGGGGTTTATCCAAGCGAAGAGTCCAGGCCTGTGAATTTTGCCGATGATGTCGGCATTCTAATCCTCCATGTGGTATGTAAACCGCCCACATTCAGTACCCCACAAACATTCTCTGGGCTAGGGCCTCCCCTCCATTCCACTTCCTCCAGGATACCCCATACCCCACGGACAGCGTACTGATTCAATTCAAAGCCACCGGTTGTGATCCGTTCTCAAAACGGTCTAGACTGAAGAAGATGTATGCACGCCACTCCAGAATCACCTCCGTGGGGAAACAAGACTAGTTCTGCAGAACACCTTAATTGCAACCCATCTGCCACTACATCCTTTCTTTCTTCTCCGTCTGGGCATTTTTGGACGTTGATTCTATCGCACGGCATTGTCCGGAATTTTAGATTAAACGTCGTATCTCGGTGTTGCTCCCACCAATCTAGCGCTGGTGGCGCTTGTCATGCTCATTTTCATGATGGAATAGGGAGTTGCATCTGCCACCCTTTCTCTTTCTTGGTGGACAACTTGAGTTTGCATGTAAGTCGCAATGAGGATGACCACTGAAGATACCGTTGCAGACCAATCTACCGGATAAATATGACCTGGATTCGCATATATAAACGACCTCTTCATCCCCAATCCAAACTCTCTTATTCACTACTCAACCAACATCATCTCAAACAGTTCCTTGAGTAAGACCAAAATGCATACCATTTCCTTCATCATCACTACTCTCCTCGCCACCCACGCCGCTGGACACGGTCATGTCACCAACGTGGTCGTCAATGGCGTCTCCTACCGCGGTTTCGACATCAATTCGGACCCCTACAACTCCAATCCTCCAGTAGTTATCGCCTGGAGCACCCCCAACACTGCCAACGGCTTCATTTCCCCGGACGCCTTCACCTCCGCCGATGTGATCTGCCACCTGGACGCCAAAAACGCTCGCGGCCATGCTGTCGTCGCTGCTGGCGATAAACTCAGCATTCAATGGACCGAGTGGCCCGATAGCCACCACGGACCCGTCGTCGACTACCTGGCATCGTGCGGCTCCAGCTGCGAGACCGTCGACAAGACGACTCTGGAATTCTTCAAGATAAGCGGCGTCGGGCTGGTCGACGGCTCGACGGTTCCCGGGGTCTGGGGTGACGACCAACTCATCGCGAACAACAACAGCTGGATGGTTCAGATCCCGTCGACCATTGCGCCGGGTAACTACGTGCTGCGACACGAGCTGATTGCCTTGCACGGTGCATTCAGCGAGAACGGTGCCCAGAATTACATGCAGTGCTTCAACTTGCAGATTACCGGGTCAGGCACTGCGAAACCCTCCGGTGTGCTAGGTACCAATCTCTATAAGCCCACAGACCCGGGTATTCTGGTCGATATCTACAAGTCGCTATCGACCTACGTGGTTCCGGGCCCGACCCCCATCCAGGGAGCTTCATCGATTGTGCAGTCAAGCTCGAAAATCACGGCGTCGGGCACTCCAGTAACCGGGTCTGGCGGCGGCGACACTACTACTACGGGGGGTGCGACGACTACGACGCTGAGCACCACCACGAGACTTACCACGACCACCACGACCAGTGCGACGAGGACCACGACGGCTGGGGGCACCGTTACTTCGGTGCAGTCGAACTACGGCCAGTGCGGTGGAAATGGATGGGCTGGTCCGACGGCCTGCTCGACTGGCGCAACTTGCACTTCTTACAATGACTTCTATTCGCAGTGCTTGCCGACGGCAACTTGATTGAATAGCCCCGGGGATTTGGTATGTCTGGGATGGGCTTCGGCTTTATGTGTGGATGGTCTTAGCCATGTTGGGAATTTAATTGGGGATCTATATTGCCTTTGCTTATGTTGTTCTATATGTTGACCCTCTCTAGCCAAATCTTTTTGTCCTTTAGGGCTCACCACAGATTTCCAATTAATCAGTATTAGGACACTGTTGCTCTTCATACAGATTAAGTAGATGAGGCATACGGTGAAGACATGAATATCATTTGCCTCCCCAAGAATGATTATACCATACATGATCATGCACCGTGATTCCCCGTGCTTGTCTTCACGATGATCAAAACAATTTCTCCGATCCTCCCTAACACATACAGCCTCACGCTCGTGTTTTTCTGCCTTCATCCTGGTCATCGTAACCTCAAAGTCTCGGCGTAACGTTACACTTTTCACCTTCTAGACTTGTCTTTCCTCCACTCTCTCCTCTTCTCTCTAACCATTTCCCACCGATTGAACACACTCGCTTTCAAAACCAACCGAAGCCCTGACCTTGTGTAATCCATCTTCTATCTAAGTTTCCAGCAATCATGTTTCTCGATCAGATCCTCAATGCTTTCTGCGGAATGCTGCTGCACTATTTGAATATAGTCCTCTATGCCAGCAGCGACAATTACATGTTTATCGAAGCGGAAAGGCTGCTTCATGAATTCACTCGCCGCGACGCATCCATCGTCTCTCTCTTTATCATGCCCGTCTTCGCGGAGGTCCTTAAGGCTTTTGTAAGTCCATTGCCTCATCCTTTGGATCTGATTTCAACCGTTGAAACTAATCTAATCGTCATGTCTGCGTCTGCAATGTCTCCAGATCCATTACTTCTTGGGCCACATCCTGACCTTGGTCATGATTCTCGAGGCCGAGACCCTGCATACCCACTCATCTACTTTGATGCAAGTCAGCACCGGTAGCCCAAGCATCCCAGCCCCAGTCTCTCGCAGCATCTTGAGCGCCTGCATCTTCCTGGTCCGCACCGCCGGCCTGCGCGTCTTCTTCAAAGGCATCAGAGCAGCCATCGTCTACCGCGCCTCCTTCCTCCTCACAACCCTCTTCATCGAAAAGATCGAGCGTCTCATGATATGCCCCCGTTCCTTCGCGCCGTTCGTCGCGCGTGTCCTCTCCACCGTCTTCCTCAGCAACCTCCATCTCGCATGGACCCAGGCCACGATCTGCATACCCTCTTCTGCGCTCGTCTTGTCTGCGCCGAGATCTGCGTCATTCGACCAGCCTCCTTCCTGGCGCATTCTTGCCCTTCCGTCCCTTTTCTTCGCCATCGTGCAGATCCTGATGGACCTACTGCCTCGCATCCTCCTCCGCGTCCTCATCACCCTGATCCCGGAACCCGAACGCACCGCTTCCCCCTGGAAAGCCAAACTCGCGTCCCAGATCCTCATCACAGTCTGTCGTCTTGCTCTGCACTTCCCTGCTCTCACGGCCCTCACCCTCATCGAAGTTCGTCTCCTCCCGGACCTAGAGAACACAATCGTCCCGTCGATTCGAGGCCGAGGCGCCAGAATGAGCGAGCTCGGTGCATTAGGAGTTACCAGCCCGTATGCGAGACCCGGATCGGGTTTTTTCTGGGACGTGGGCGCTAGTTTCGGCGCTGGTGACGGTCCTGGACTGCATACTCGACTTGGTTTGGATCTTGTCCGGTGGACTACGGTTCTTTGGCTCTGCAAGCTTCATGTGAAGAACTGTCTATTGCAGTTTGCTGTGGAGGTGTTGTTGGGGAGGTAGAGTTGTTTTTTGATCTGGGTTGTAACTTCTTTTTTTTTTCTTAACTTTCTTTCTTTCGATGACCTCGTGTCTGGTTTACTCTCAACGTATGTATGTGGTGGCTGGAGTGTTCTTGTTTGGGCCAATATACTAGTACTATCATGTGTGCGAGTGGCTAGGAGTTCATCTATGGGGATGGTCCTTTATGGGCTATTCTTCTCTGTAGACAGAAAGAACTAAAAGCCAAGTTGAACTTGGTGATATGTGTTAGTAGGGTTGGTCGAGCTCACTAAGATAGCCACTGTATTTGGTGCCTGAGATTTCAGGCATCAGACCATCGCGACCAAGCTGCAAGATGATCGCCCATTCATCGATCCTAGAGAATCCGATCACATTTTCGATTGAAGCGATTTAGCAAACATCTGCCTCGTTTTCTCGAGGTCTCCCAGTGAGAAAGGTCTACTCCGTATGCTCACCGTACTCTGTAGAAAAGTGGGTGAAACAGTATTGCGGATACCAAGCGGTAAATACGCCCAGCCATCGGAATTAATTAAATTAAGTCTCGATCCATCCTGGTCGTCTTCCATGTCTCGTGCACAATTCATTGTGTGACTTTACTTGCTCTTTCCTCGCTATATTGTTCATCAGTCGCGATGCTTTTCACCCCTCTACTAGTCGGGCTGGGCCCGGCCTTTGCGAGGTCGGTGGCAGCACATACCGATCCAGTCGATACCCATGCCAACCTGTCGCAGATCCCCGATGACATTCTGCAGCGGAATGCGGTCATTCAGACCCATCTCGCCCAGCGACCGGTGCGCGGCGTGAAGAAGATGAGTAACGACGAAGGCGAGAAGTTCTTCTTGGATTACTGGTACTTCGAGGAGGATGCGGTGGACGGCAATGCAAACACCACCACCGAACGACTACAAGAGCGACAAGAGACAGCTACGAACGAGCATCTCGCGACCAAGGAACAACTCGACCTCCAGCCGCGATCGTATCCCCATCACCCGTCGCTTTTACTGAATCGTCGGGACGAGGCGAGCGACACTCATGGCTGGATGGCGGCGCAGTTCTCACCGCTGTTTCGTAGAGATTTTAAATGTCCGGCCAACACGTTCTCCTGCGCCTCAATCGATCGCCCCAACAGTTGCTGCAATGCCGGCGATACCTGCGAGTTGGTGAAAGACACCGGGTCCGGCGATGTGGGATGCTGCCCGACTGGACAGGACTGCTCGGGCACGATTGGGAAGTGCCAGCAGGGGTATTCGAGTTGCTCGGCGTCGCAGGGCGGCGGTTGTTGTATCCCGGGTTATGACTGTGTTAGCGGTGGCTGTGAGTTATTCTTTGTTTTGTTGGCTGTTTTCTATATTCGGTTCTCATCTGACACATCTTCCTCCAGGTGCCAGAGTCTATACGATCACCATCACGGTGTCCTCGTCCGTGATGTTATCTACTTCCACCCAGACAGTCCCCGCGACAACCACGGTCGAGTACAACACCACTACCACCAGCCGGAGTACCCGTAGTACTGCATCTTCTAGCAGCACGGACACCAAGTCGACCGGGGATCTGTCCCCGCCCGCTCGACCCACGAGTGTCTCGACAGCCACTACTTCCCACGCCAGGGAAACAGGCGACGTGTGCCCCCTTGGATTCTACGCATGTTCGGCGGTGTATCGCGGAGGATGCTGTCAGACCGGACGCGACTGCGACATGACCTCGTGTCCCTCCACGCGATCCACGACCATCACCTCCAATGATCGCACGATCGTGGTTCCGGTCGAGACGACGGAGGCGACGGCGACGAGCGGCGGACGGTGCGCAACTGGCTGGTTCAGCTGCGCGGACACCGCAGGCGGAGGGTGTTGCCCGTCGGGATATGCGTGCGGTTCGAGCTGTACCGCTCAAGCGACGGCGACGGCGACGGGCACCGTAGCAAAGGAGGAGCCGACCAACGCGGCGAGTCGGAATTGGTCCGAATGGACGAGGATAGTGGGGGTTGGCATGGTGGGAATGATCTGGACGATGGGATGAACTGGAAATATATGATCTATGACCGACGCGACCATGAAACTGATAGAATAATGACCATGATGGAGTATCAGAGTAAACGATATGAAGATAAAAAGAAAGAAAGAAAGACCCGCGGCAGAACGAAAAAGGTTCCCCGCGTGGGCACGTGGGGCCGGGCGTGAGTTTTCCCCTTCGGGAGATTCCCCGGTGAATCCAACTTCTTCCCTTCTCCTCTTCTCCTCCTCCTCCCCTTCCTTTCCTTCTCTTCCTCCCGTCAATCGTCTTCCCTCTTTCTTTTCCTTCCCTTCTCCTTTCCTCTCTCTCCATCTATCTTCTTCCCCTCCATCATCATGTCGGAAAACCAGAAGCCTCTCCCCTTCATCTACCAGTTCGCCGCCGGCGCGGTGGCTGGTGTGTCGGAGGTACGTTCTCCTCACCGGGGCCTATCCAGGCTAGGTAGACTAGTAGCCGTATGACTAACAGTCGACTGACTCGATATCCAGATTCTCGTCATGTACGCCAATTCCAGCTAATTCCAGTCAATCTGCGCGACCCCTTTGCTAACCATGGATTCGCCTTCAGGTACCCATTGGATGTGGTCAAGACCCGAGTGTAAGAACTTACCCGCCGGCATTGTCGCCGAACCGACCAACAACGCACCTTGACGTGTCTGACACACAATCATCCCCATAGTCAACTACAGACCAGCGCCGCGACCGGTGAGGAGGCCTACAATGGCATGTTCGATTGCATGCGCAAGATCGTCAAGCATGAAGGGTACGTTCTCGTCCTCCTCGCACCAACACCCACCACCAAAATCCGAGCCGTCCCGGTCTCGTTCCCAATCCAACCGACCACCCTAGTCTCGTCTCTCAACCCCGGCCGTTAACGCGATGTTACCTATTCTACGTGTAGCTTCTCCCGTCTATACCGCGGTATTAGCGCTCCCATCCTGATGGAAGCGCCCAAGCGTGCGACCAAGTTCGCCGCCAACGACAGCTGGGGATCGTTCTACCGGGGTCTCTTCGGCGTGGAGAAGCAGAACCAGAGTCTGGCCGTGCTCACGGGTGCCACGGCCGGTGCGACCGAGTCCTTCGTCGTGGTGCCCTTCGAGCTGGTCAAGATCCGTCTGCAGGACCGCGCCTCGGCCGGCAAGTACAACGGCATGCTGGACGTGGTGAAGAAGATCGTCCAGACCGAGGGTCCCCTGGCCATGTACAACGGTCTGGAGTCGACCCTGTGGCGTCACATCCTCTGGAACAGTGGTTACTTCGGCTGTATCTTCCAGGTGCGCGAGCAGCTGCCCGCCGCCGAGCCGGGCAACAAGGCCCAGCAGACCCGTAACGACCTCCTGGCCGGTTCCATCGGTGGTACGGCCGGTACCATCCTCAACACCCCCATGGACGTCGTCAAGTCGCGCATCCAGAACAGCCCCAAGGTCCCCGGCCAGGTGCCCAAGTACAACTGGGCCTGGCCCGCCGTCGGCACCGTCATGAAGGAGGAGGGATTCGCTGCCCTGTACAAGGGATTCCTTCCCAAGGTGCTCCGTCTCGGTCCTGGTGGTGGTATCCTGCTGGTGGTGTTCACCGGTGTCATGGATTTCTTCCGCCAGATGCGGGGCGAGTAAAAATGTTTGATATCTTTCGTTTATTTTTGCTATGTTGGCAGCTTGTCTTTGTTCATTTCCAAAATTCTAGACCTTCGGTGGTTTTCTCTCTCCCTCTCTCCCTCTTTATACCTACCTCTCTCTTTCGATTTCTTTTTTGCAAATAGATCGACTTCTGTTTTAGATTGTGCGATTGAAGAATGTTCGTCTCGTGACTGACTACCTATACATCTACATTGTCTGTCTCTACCTGTATGTCTATCTGTCTTTTGTCTATCTATGTTCTGTGTTTATTGTGTCCTCGTGATGATGAATTTAGATGTACGTCTCAGACTCAATACCCAATTTCTCTTCATCAGTGACTTCGCCATCTTCTCTCCTTAGATGCTATACATGATACACAGTGTGTACAAGTGCATAAATTAGTGAATGAATGAGGTGGTCAGTCAGTCAGTCGATATGTAAGGATAAACTTTAGACTAAAATCCATGAATGAATCAACTCTTTAGTATGTTCCTTACCTACCTACTCGATAGGTAGTATGTTCGAGAAAAAGAGCAGGCTTCAAGGAATAACAACTTTACGACGCATTGGTAGATCCATACCCCTGGGTTACGACCGAAGGCAATATTTAGAATATCATGACTATAATAGATGGCAATTTAAAAAGGATACTCTGAAATTCAGCGTTACGGTTAATTCGTCATTCCCTGACTAAGGGGCATCGATGGGCATTACACGTCACGTCAAGTCAAAATGTACAAAAATCAAGAACCATGGTTAATGCAAAGCCGACGAACCGATCAAAAAAATAAGAAACAGAAGATAATCAAGTTATATGGAGCAAGCAAGTACATAACCCGTAGAATAGATAACAACCGAGATGAGAACGAGGCAAAGCAAGCAGGCAAAGAATATTAGAGCAGCAAAAGGAAAAGGGTATCGATGAAAAAGAAAAGATAAATAAAAATGAAAGAGACTCAGACAAAAGCAGAGGTAGCAAAGGGGGAAAGCACAGCTCAACCGGGGAAGGCGCGGCCTCAACCCGGGGATCGCGGAAGGAATGACCCGACTAATGCTGGATTCAATCTAGGCCACCCAGGGAGCAATGAAGACAAGAGATCTGGGCAACATGTATGCAGTAAGTAATAGGAAAAGGGGAGAGAGAAGCAAAATTAACATAGTCCGACCCAGAATAAACTCATGAATATCACAACGAAGTCGAAAGCCATAGAATAAAAGATAATCATAATCAAGACGAAAATCAAGCTTCACAGGTAATAACAACAAGAGAAGGACAGAACCGATCAATCCATAACCCATAGAAAACAAAGCAATTAAAGCTCACCCTAAAACAAAAACCAACTGAGAGCGCGTTCATTAAAAGTCGGATATGAAT